TGCATGCATTATAGCTAACAATACCTTCCTGTGTAAAGACATAGTAATATCTGCAATCTTAACATTGTCTTTTTCATACCTGTTCCCACAGTGGGAGGAGTGCAGAAATGACATGAGGGTTGTTCAAGCATGTCAGTGAAAGGCTCTGCCAATTCTTCAATCCTGTCAATAGTTTATTAATTTATTGCCCACAACCTTGATATCTCCTGCATCCAGAACATGTCCTTCCTGACCTAAGACTGCTGCTAGTTCCTGGTATCTTTGGAGGACTTCTGCTGTAGATCAATCCATTCCATCCATCCCAACTGGCCTGTTGCCAAGCATAGAACACACTCTGGCAGCTCTGGGGAGACATTCAGTTTCTGAAGTGGGATTATGACCTGCTTCAATCAACCAGTTGGAGGGGTTCCTAAGACTGATTCGTTTTCACTACATGGGACCTGATAAGCAGGTGCTCTAAGACAGAAAAGGCTATTTGTTTATGGATTAGAGGCTCTATGGAATGGCTTTCGGACCATGCTCTAACAGTATGCAGCCCAGGTTCACTTTTGAGGGCTATAATGGAGCCATAATTCACCAATTTAAGTGGAATGTGCTCCATTCAACCTAAAACCCCAGCCTAAAACATCTTGCCCCTGCCGTTTGCTCAGTTTGCTAGCAGGAAGGAAGCCTTTCAACTGTTCTGCACTTGAAAAGATGTCTTATATACCTGCCCTGTGGGGTACTGAGTGTTAGTGGAATTCCTTTGCTTTTCTGTCTTTCTTTCCCCACTCAGCACAATGATCTGAGAATGGGCCTTGATAAGCACAAGTGACAGGCAGACTCCTAGGAAACATCTGTTCTGTGGCTGGTGGGGTGCACACTGCAGATGCACCCTGGAGCCCACCTTATCTTGAGTAACAGTAGGTTGACTGGAACCCTGCCTCTCCAGGCCTGCTATGTGCTGCCCACTTTGCATTGCATTTGCTGTGCTGTGTCCCCACTCATGCACTAAGGTGTGCTTGTCTACTGAAAATGTCCTTTACATCATCACCAGTCCTACTTCCTACTGGCATGGGCCTTCCAGGCACCCCAGCCTGTTGCTTGTGTTTAAAAAATTATTTCATATTTTGTATTGTTAAACCACCCTGAGACTTTGGTAATGGGGCAGTCTACAAAAGTTTTAAACAAACAAACAAACAAATAAATGTTGTCTTTAACAGGTTTGCTTCCACAGATTTACTAACCAACTCCATAACGATCAGTTAATATTTGTTTCCTCACACAGATTTTGGCAAGAGCCCAATGAAGTTGCATTGAAGTCTTTCCCAAGGAGCCATGACTCTTTAGTGCGGGAATGAAGCTTTGGTACCAGAATGGTCTGTGTTGGTCATGGTGCAGGCTAGACAATTAGTACACCACTGAGCCCCTCATCTTTCATTTTTGGCCATTGTCCTGTCTTTCAAACCCTGACCAGTGTATCTGCTTTGCCTCTATTCCCTTGCTCATTGATAAACTGGATTAGATCCAGCCATACCAGCCTTGGGACTATCCAGTACTTGTCTTGGTCTGAACTACTGGCCCACGAGAATCTGTCTTCCTCTTGGATTTTGTATTTCCCCTTCGAACTTTGGCCTGCCACTGCTAGTGCCTCTCTCTCATTTTCTCCCTGTTGGAACTCAGCTAAATCTAAAGTGGTTAGTCCTGTGCTTAAGTCTTGCTTCCTAGTTGTCACTGCAGCCACCGGTGATCTGGTACTGCATCCTGACAACCCACGCCTGGAGCTGCAGTGGCTCTGGCGATGGTGCCAGCCACGGTGTCCCATTTGGCTGCTTCTGCTGGCTTTCTGCTATGCCTGGCTGTAGGTAATAACTGAGTCTCTGCTAGGCACTGCCTGATAATCTCTAAGATTTATCTCCACTGTGCTATGGCTTGGCATTGGTCTTTCTCTTGCTCCAGCTGCTCGGATGCACCTTGTGCACCTGAACATTCTCCTTTTCTTTAATCAGATGGCAACACGTTGCTTTCTGTCCCTCTTCTCTTTGTCTGTGTTGTGCTACATCTTTGGGTAGCGTTCTAAGCTGTAGTTGCCACAGACATTATACACCTCCAGTAGAGTGCTGCTTTTCGCTGCACTTTGTGGCCTCGTGTTCTTTCGAGAAATCCCCAGTGCTGAAGAGAGCCAAATGGGCCTTTGCTTAAAACAACCATCTCCCCACAACTATGTTCCCCACTCAGCAACAAAAGCTTTTCATACTGTCAGTTATCCCTTTTCCCTCAAGAAACCTCCTTGCTGCACTCCAGGGTGCTGCTCCCCATCTTTGTGCTTAGGGCACAAGTTCTCACCAGCCAGGTCTGCCCATGCTTCTGAAGCTGGATACACATTGATCAGGAATGATCCCTTGCTCTGTGGCTGAAGGAAATGCCAATCTCATTTCCAGGCATGCTTGCACTTTGTTAATGCTCAGGCAATGCATGCATGTACTCAAAGGGCAAGGATACCTTTCCTCTCAGAGCTCCCCTGACTGCCCCTTGATGGCTAGAGGTTTTCCTGGACTGCGGGTTGGCCACTTCCCATATGCCAGGAAACCCTGCTGTAGCACGTTCGTCTCCCCACCCTGCTTTTGTGCATACTCTAATTCTTCTGAAATCAAGAGCTCAATTGTCAAGTGCTGGTTCTTAGTCCAACACTCAAGAAAGCCAAGTTCTCTCAAACTTCTCATTCCTTCAGTGATCTAGAACCCTGCTTGACTGTGACCTGATTCTTTCTCCACACGCTGAATGGATCTGTAGCCTCTCTTCACCCTAACCAACCTGTGTGCCATCGTCCCCCGTACTTGTTCTATGGGCTATTGCTCCTCTTACTGCAAGAGTCGGGATCAGAGCCTGATTCACCCAGCAAGTGCCTACAGAACCAGAAACGCCCCCGCTGGTCCTTGCAGGGAACAGCTTTGTGGCAGTGGTGCAGTGCAGCTGGAAGCCCTGGGGAGCTCCATAGAAGGCTTCACTGCATTGCTGCTTCTTGCCACAGCAACACGAACGGTTCTGGTGGCTACCTCATGCTTCAGCTTCCAGCCTGCCTTGCTCCTCGTTCCTGCCTGCCTCCTGCCCAGCTCCAGCTTGTTCCTGTCTCCAGCCTGACCCTGCTCTACCAGGTACCTGCACCCCTTCTCCCTGACTTCCCCTTGCTCCTGAATGTGACGGTATTACCTGTATCTGGACTTGGCCTACTACTGGACTGTGCTTTTGCTTGAACCTTGTGGTCTTGCCAGCTCTTGACCTGGGACTGGTCAAGAACATGCCCTTGCCTCTTGTTCTCTAAACCTGGGGCAAGCCTCTCCTTCTGTGCCCTGGTCTTGACTACAGCTGCCCCTGCCCACGTCCTAGTCCCAGGGGATGATCTTAGGGATCCATCCCTGTGCTGCTCTGCATTCTCCAGCGGACTGTTCAGTCTGAACAGAGGTGCTTGCCCTCTGGGTATCTGGAAAGGCTGCGGATCTTTTGCTGGGATTTGACATGTGCTGCCTGAGGGGAATGTGCCACAGCCTCATATTCAACACAGACACACACAGCATGTAGAAAGCAAAATTATTCAGAAGAAAAAGTAATGCAGTCTCCATACAGTCAAAAGTCAAACACAGTGTTGTTCAGACAGCAATATTCTTACTGGATCCCAATCTTAGTCTATTTTTTGAAAGAGATAAAGAAGCTTTTTCCTAACAGCCTTATGGACAGAAAGAGGCAACAATGGAAAAAGAGGGAGTTGTCCAAGACTCCTAGCAGGCCAAGACTACTACTTGTTTTCCAAGTAGTCCAATACTACTATATGTCTGTCAGTTGCCATGTATAGTAAACGCTCAACAGCAGGCCACTGTACATGCAGAAGGGATGCAAGTATTCCATGTAGCATTGCTTGTCCACTTCTATTTTCTAAATCCTTGCTTATTTATACTGATTGTTCCATGTTGGCCCTCTCAGAGAAGGAAGGGTCTCATTGTTCCTCAGAATTATGCGAATTGTTTGATGGGTGCTTAATTGCTCTTGATGATTTCCACTATTGCTGCCCTCTACCATTCTGTTTCTGTGGGTAGAAATAAGCGGTTTTTGTTTGCGTTTTTGCTGGTTGCTATGAACGGCATGACCTCTTTCAGTCTCCTTTCCCTCACCTCTTGGTGACTTGCTCTGCTAGTTCAGGGCAATGGCAGTCATCCTTGCAGGGTTGCTTTGCCTAATTTCTTTATGGGGAAATCTCTCTTCAGGTTACGCCTGACCTGATTAATGGGAGCCACCTTTCTTCTCACTACATGACCAGCTACCATGGAAACATATTTTAGAAAAAGGAAAAATGAGTGATCCGTATGCAAATTGGGCCCTATACACTTGAAAGGCATCCAGAGATACAAAAATGATACCCAGCAGGCTTTTCAGCCACATGTAGGCTCATAAACGTAGGAGAACAAGGTAGCAGGTAGCTGCAGACCAAAGCTTTTGTCTGCAGTGCACTGATTTTGTGCCGATGCCTGGAAGTTGCCATATGTGCCCAGAAGACCAAAAAGTTTACACATTAACCGTACAGTGATAAAGAAACACATATGCAGCAGAACAAGTATCATAGCACCACAACATTTCTATAATAATAAATATGTCAGTACAAAGGGAATAGACATCATCCATCTTAATGTTAATTGTAAAACTAAGAAATCAAACAGAGGAAGGAACAAGCTTTCTTTTTATTGGAGATCACTACAGAAGGTATTAATTACCATTCACTGAAGTCACAGAGTAAAGAGTAACACTTTAAATTAATTGCAATGTCACCTTTTATCCTGTGTTATTTCCATATCTGGAAAATGTCACATAGCAGTTATATAAACCACTCACATTGTGGATGAATTCATTTTTAATGTATGCGAAACATTATTTTTTAACATATGCTTTCTTTTATATATTATTCATATGCACAGTATTTGACTATAAGACAATATCCTGCATTGGTAAGGAATGAGGAATTTAGTACTTACCAACAGCACCTAACTGGGCCCAGTATAGAAAAGCAGCCACTATCATGCTGGCAATGATGAGACTGTGCTGCAGAGTCCATTCTGCTGCAAGACACATAACAATAATCACAAAATATTAGTTTGCTTAAGAAACACAAAACATAAACCAGGACTATTAGAGCTACATTAATGGCTACAATGCTTGAACCCATTTTAGCCCATTTATCCTTTGAGAAGCAGTGGTATGAAAGTGACAGGCTTCAATTGAACTGTTGGCACTTAACATCGAAAAGGAGAAGAGCTTCCCACTTCCAGCAAATCACCCATAGAGGATGATGGTAAAAATGCTTTTGATTGCTTGGATGGGGATGGGGGTGGAAGTGCCATGCTTGATCAGACACAAGTCCCATCTCCTCCTCCATTCATTCCCTCACTGGGAAACCTGAAGGCTATGGGAAGACATGAGTGCCAGTGCACCTTTCCATTTATGTATGTTCCCCAGCATTAGGGTATACCAAGCAATACTGCCTCCTATATCGGGGGCAGAATACAACCATCATGACTGACTTGCCTTTCACAGCCTCAATACAAGCTTAGACAGAAGTAATTCCCATCCGGCTATCCAAGCTAGTAGCTACCACTACATCTTGCAGCAAATTTCACAGCCAGAGTACGTGTTTTGTGAACAAGTTATCCTTTTATCTGTCTTCTCTCCCCCATCACTTTCTTCAGAAAAAGCATTTGCTTTTTTTCTCCTCCTAAGCTAAGATGCTCCAAATGCTTAATATTTAAGCACTGCAGAGTTGCTCCAACCACTTGATTTGGCTTCTCTGTTCTGTATCTTTTGTATGATGCAGCAACCTGTGTCCAAATGTGGTCCCATCACAGGTTTGTATACACATGCATGTGATATTGGCAGTTTTATTTCCTAATAATCTCCCAACATGGATTTTGAATTTTCATAGCAGCCAGATGCCAAGGCAATGTTTTCACTGATATATTGAGCACAACCTCATGATCCCTTTATTGGTTAGTCACCAGCAGCTCAGGCCCCAGCAGCCTATATGGGAAATTTTGTCTCAACGTGCAGCAATTTACACTTATTTGCCCTTTTACTCCCAATGCTCTATTTTAGAGAGATTATTTTGGAGATCTTCCCAACCCCCTTCTGTTTTAACTATGCAGCTAGTGCAAATATGGCAGTCAAAGTGATAACTGATCCCCCCCTTTAGTGCAATTGTATAACCCATTTTGTTCAAGCTGTGCTAGCTTCTTGTTCATTTCAGGATGTAATTTGAAGTGCTAATCCTTTTCTAGAGTATCTAAATGGTTTGGAACAACAATTCTTGAAGAGGTGTGTAACAGAAGAGGGAGATGAGGATTGATTTAGAGACAGGGCCAAATGCTAGTTGGAGTCAGTGATGATTGGAGAAAGCCAGTTAGAAAGTGACACTGCTACTGAATTCAGACATTATTCACACTCAAGGGTTGAGTATGGGTTGTTGAATAATGAGTTCTTGATGAAACATGGGTTCTCATGTTGTCTGAACCCAGTTGATATAAGAAACTATGGTGAACCCATGGGTCACAACCCAATAACAAACTGTGGATTCTCTTCATAGGCTGTTCATGCTGAACAAGCCATGTTGGTACAACTAGGTTCAGACACCATAATAACCTACATTTCAACAATAATTCAGTATTCAATAACAACCCACATTCAACCCCAAAGTGTGTTGTCTAAACTTAGACAATAATGGGTCAAGAAAACAGGACATGAGTTAGGATAGAAAGACAGTGAGAGGAATTAGGGGCCACAGTTAGTTTAGTTAGCCAGTGACTGGAATCAGAGGCCAGGTGTAAATGAGGCGGTGGGGAGAGAGAAACAGAAGTTAGTGAAATCAGGTGTGATATTAGACTTTTAGAACCACTGGGCCGCATCCAATGGTTCTAAACCATTGGAACTGAACACTGGCTAGACCCCTGGTTAGCATAACAGTAAGCTAGTAAATCTTTAAATAAGCAGAAATACTTTTTTTCCAGGATGGGACAGTTTTCCTTTCATTTCTAGGGTTGCTTTAGGAAAGAACATTACAGAAAGCTATTTCAGTGAGTCCTGCTGGTGCAAAAGAAACAGCTAGAGCACAGAAGCAGTATAGGATACAGCTATTATCATTATCATTAAACTGTTATCAGCTGTTATGATGAATAAGGGAGCAATCCTATGTGAATGCAGGAAAAAAAGCCCTATAACTCCCAGCATTCCCCAGCCACTAGGAAACCTGCAGGACATTTTTGTCAAAGCCTGCACAAGACTGTGCCCAAGGTATATATTCTTTCAAATGCCCGTCTTTGGGTCTGTGCAAATCTGAAGAAATTTATGCCCATGTGCTCACGCTATAAAGAGAATCCTGCTCATCTCTACACATCAGTAGGTGGTAGCAGCTGATGCTTTGGGAGTTCTAGAAAAACTCTGGACTCAGCAACCTCTAGGCTAGAGGGCCTTACATGGGACCCCTAGAGACAACACAGAACACCTCTTCCTGTGCCACTGTCTGCACTCACTACAGTACATATCACAGACCCTGCTATGCAGTCCACTGTTTTCACCCTTCACTGAGAAACAAGAAAGCCCATTTTTGCTTGCAGCACTTAAGTTGTAGAATTCCCTCCCTGGAGAAATATGGTGGTCTTGTTTGTTTTTTTTAAGCTTCAGGCAAGCTGCTAAACCATTTTATTGTGCTGAGCTTTCAATATTAGTTAAAGTTGTCTTTTTATGTAAAAGTGTTTTATCCTGTTTAGCTTTGTTGTATGAAATGAGCTGTTTTCACAGTGCTGTATGTATCTTATGAACTTTCTTTGTAACTTAGTGTTCATTTGATAAAGAGTAGCAGCTGATAACCCTTTCAAGAAAATAATGACTAGATGAAGCAGAAGGCTCGCCAGATAGCACAAGTGATACACTACTTCAATCATCATTCAGACAACTTAGAATGGTCCCATGGGTGTTTTAGCCTACAACTCTCATCAGTCCTAGCCAGCAAGATCAATGGTGATAGACGAAACTTGAAGAGAGCTCTGCCGGCCCTGTCTTTTTGAATATGCAGACTCTGATTGGCTCGGACACTATGCATTGTATGTTAACCCAATTTTAAGCTAACCATTAATTGCATTTATTTTATTTTATTTATTTAAGGTTTTTGTATGCTGTCCCAATTACTAAAAAGTATCTGGGCAGCTTATAGAGAGTGATCAAAAAAAAACAAACCTATAACAACCAATCAACCAACCAAACAAAAAGTTTTGTATGCTATTTTGGGGTTGTTTAATCCACAATGAATCCATTGTGTTCAGATCTGAATATTATGGAACAACCTCTGATTAGGCTGATCAGGGGTTGCATATTGCAAGAGGCTGTCACAGTCCCATGATTTGCCACCATCACATGCAAACTAGGTCACTCTTTTCCCTGTGTCCCTTTGGACACTAGAGCTACAAAGGTGGTGCCCGTCTGAACACATCACGGTTTCTGTTGGGTGGTTTCAAGAACCTTCTATTCAAAAGTGATGGCTGGAGTGGGAATACTGCCACACACTACCAGATGGCCTCAAAAGATTTAATGGGCTTGTTTTCCCCCACCGTTTTCTCTCTTTCTATCTGTGTGTATGCTTTAAATTACACGCCTACAGGCAGGGACTGTCTTGTCTGTTATTGATCTTATGTAAACTGCAGTGGGAGACTTTTCAACTGAAGTACAGACTAAAAACGTTTGAAATTAAATAAGTATGTGGGTTACCATCATGCAAGTATACTAGTATATACAAACCTCAATGTTCACAGTCAATTATTTTGCAGTTATTAAGTGAGCCAGGCAATCGTTTTTGCCATCAAAACATGTCCACACTAAAAAATCACTACAGTTTTCACTCATTCTTATAATGTATTTATTTGCTATATTTATATGCCACTTTTCCTTCAAAGGGATCACAATCTCCCTCTTACACCACAAATTTAATCTGCATAACAAGCCTTTGAGGCAGGTGAGTCAAAAAGAGAATGACTGGTCCAGGTGAGTTTTGTGGCTGAATGGGGATTTGAGACTAGGCCTCCTTAATTTCTTATGACAAGACAGATAATTATTTTTAAACTAGAGCGTTACTTTATCTTTCCATTTATTTGGATACTTTATACAAATGCATAAATACAATCAATTATAAAGCAAGCCTTTATATTTAATGCTGCACATAGGTCTGAGGAGAAAAAAACTGATCTAAGAACTGCTCAGAACCTTTATTTTAAGGCTTGACTAGAAGCAGATTTGTTAGCGGCTTTAACAAAAAATGTAGGAGGGATGCAGACTAAAGTATCAAAATCATATTAACAAAGTACTGTAACAACATTAGAACTCTGAATGATCAATACATAAGAGTGCACAAAATGGATATAACATGGTTGTATGAATGCCAAATGTGCCTTTGCTATTTTCTTACTAACCAGAAGATGGTGTCATGTTTCCTTTATTTTAAAAATAATATTTTAAAGTATTTCATCTGAGAGCAAGAAAAGCCACTTCTGAGACTAGGGATGGTTTCTTTCAAGAACTGGAAGCAAGCCTGCTTTGGGATTAAAATGAATGTGTTTAGAATATTATTGTAGGAAATTAAATGCACATTTACTCTACTACCACATCCATCTCAACTATGCAGACTTCTCCTTCTATTTAAATGGGCTCCCAGCCCTTAACTGAAAATACGTTTGAGGTCAACATTTGATAGTGTTTATACCAGTGTTCTTCACTGCCTGGTCTAGGAAGCTACTGGTGGTTCCTCATCACCTTCAGTATGGTTCTTCACACTTCCTCATCTGCTCTCTTTTTCCAGTAGCAGAGGATCCCTAATTCTGCCCTGGTTTTGCTTTAGCAGCGGATCAATGGAGGCTTTGGGGCTCAACAGCTGAGAGTGGGGGGGGAGGGCCCACAGGAAAGTGTCAAGTGCAAGAACAAATCAGCTGCGTTGTGGGTGGAGCTCATGGGGCAAACAACAGTGTGAAAAGAAATTCATGCCTAAATTAGGGGTGTTGAAACAGGGAATATATTACCTGAC